TCAGGCAGAGTGGGTGGGAGCTGGGAATGATGCCTGCTGTGGGAACAGGGACCTGCTGGAGATGACACTGAGTGAGACCAGACAGAACTGGGAGGTCTCCAGGCAGCTTTGCTGGGATCCCTTCACTCCTGAAAATTGCCAAACTAACCTAAATTATTTGATGCAAATTTTGCCACTTCAAGGCTCCCCCGGCTTTGTGGTTCACTGACACCAGCCCTACGGGTTTGGGCTGCGGTTCTCTGGCCTGGGTTTGGCAGGACGTCAGACTAGCTGACCAGCGCGGCCCCCTCTGGCCTTCCCCATCTATGGCTCTAACATGGCACCCTGGGGCTCTGGCTGTTAGTTCATGGAGAGTCCCCGAGCCCACGCCACTCCTTTGTCACCTGTGCAAGTGACGGCCAGTGTCTCCCTTTCCTCGGTGCCCTGGAGATCCCGGACACACGGCTCGTCCCCGCGCTCCATCCTGGAGATCAGGGATCAGGAATCCTGCCTGCAGGGGAGCAAAGAGGGGAAGTCCTGGTTTGATAAATTACCATTAAACCCTTCAAAACTTCCCCCCAGGCAGCCCGGGGTTGGGTCCTGTGGGCTCAGCTCCATAGACCCCCTCCCCCCGCTGCCCGGAGGTGTCTCTGGTGCCAGCTGCAGTTCGGGGAGCCCCGATCCCCTCCTCCCTGCAGCCCCTTCCTCCAGGCAGCGATTTCCTGCCCCCTGCTGCCGTTTCTCTCCCTCCCCAGAGCCGCCTCTCCCTGCGCCTCAGCTCACCGCCCGGCCAGGCCATCCCCTCGGCCCTCAGCAGGGACTCACCTCTGGGCACGCAGGGGGACGGAGGAAGCCGGCCTGGGAGGGACCCAGGTGTCCGGAGGCCGGGACAGGAAAGTCCCTGCGCTGTTACAGCCTAAGCCATCACCGGCTCCGCTCTGGGAAGCTGGAGTTGAATTTCTCTATTATATTAACACTAAACTCTCCAGTCTGCAGGAAATGTTTTTTTCTCAAGTTCCTTCCGTCCCCCATCCCTGTTCCCTAAAGGACTCAGAGAACAATTCAGTTACCTGCCTGAGGAGATCTGGGCCATGGAACCCAGGAGTCCTGACGCCCCGCCCCGCCCCCGCTGTAATTCACTAGACCCCACTCTTCTCCCATAGGGCAGGCTACAACCCAGGAGCCCTGGCGCCCACCCCCTGCTCTGTCCACTAGATGCCACTCAGCTCCCAGAAACGAGATCAGAACCCAGGAGTCCCGAGC